TTTTTTTTTTTTTTCATGGTTTCCTTTCTGATTCTGTTGAGATCACTTCGTGTGTATATAGACTAAAACAATTATTCACCTCAGGCTCAGTTAATAGTGTTGAATAATCCCCGAGACGAAGTTGCCGATTAACTTCGCCTCTTATGAACTCTTGGCCAATGAAAAGGAAGAAAATTTGCATCGAATGATAATAATAATTCTTCTTATTATTTTTTCCCTAGATATCCTGCAATATCTCTGCAAAGTTTACTACATCCCCTAAAAATGTCTGGTCAACCCCAAAATACACTCGAACGCCATTCTTTGTAGGACTACAGGTATGTAATGTTACTATTAATTAGTTATTATACTTGCAACATGTTCAGATTGGAGTTTCATTGGATTTTTATATTTGAAGTTTGACCTTGGTTGTTAAGTCGGTGACGTATAAGTTACGTCGAGGGCCATATTTTACACATCACCGCAAGTAAAATAACTTCACAAACAAAGTCAAACAAGACAAAAAATGTAATGATTACTAAAACTAGCCTGAGATGCAGCTCCCAAAATGGAGTGAGGCATTAAACGGTAAGGGCCGACTATTAATTAAAAAAACAAAGTTCAAAAACTACGGTTTCGTGTAATTTGGCGAACCTTTGAATCATACGATCACCATACAAACCATACTTCGGGAACATAATGTTCTACCCTCTCTGAAAGCATTTAATAAAGAGTACTTAAACACTTAAATCATGATTTATTTCATTTACATTTGTCAGTTCTTAAATACCCCATCTCCATGCTTTTTTAATTTATTGGTGAGAATAATGTTTTTGTTCAGGAAATGGCTCATAACTTGATGATCAACTTCCTGACTCTCTTTTTGTCTGTTTGTTCTTTATTTAGGTTAATCAAACTGCATTAAACATACCGACTTTAAAAACTTGTGACCCTGACACTGAGTATGTAGTGGCCTTCACCCCTACAATTCCCGTGCGTCCATACACGGATCCACAAGGAAATAAAAGATATCCGAAGATAACCTTCTATGCACCTCAAGAAGTAAATATCAAGCAATCCTGCGAGGCAACTTTAGAGGAACTCAAGCCGGTGTACTTAACGGTTACGGCAGCCTGTTCTCAAGTCTCGAAACCCGGGCTGAAACTGATAGTTCCAATTTTTATAGAAAGAACTCCTTTTTGGAATCATAAGTATAGCCTTCCAAAGGTCTGGGTATGTTAAAATTATTCATTTATGAAAGCAATTGTTGGCGTTGATGTGATTATTTAAAAGTTGAAGGAGAAGGTCATGTACTTACATTCATCTCCCCCCACCTTAATATTCATTTCCTGTTTAGCTTTTCCCGCTTTCCCTTCGCTATTTTCCGGTTCCCAAACAGAACGAGCAATGCAAAAGGCACATAATAAATATTAACGAATTCGGGCCGGTCTCAACAGCCAGGAAATTGAGGTGAAGTATATAGTTTAGTATGTGTCCCCTTTTTGGGCTAACTTGCTCGTATATATCGATCCTAGTCGATATATGGTGGTTAAACCCACCTTGGCCTTAGCTTTCCCTGAAAAGAGGCCTTCCAACACTGAGCGAGAGGGGTCAGACTCTCCATAGGTTCGATAGTGGGATCGGTGGTACTCGTGGAAATTTGTGACAAATTTCTTATTAATGTGAACAGAGATTTCAAGATTTTACCTTTCAGCCAAAACATTAGAGATCATAGAAGAGTTTATCCCCTTTGTGACAGTACAGGTCATCGAACGAGCCCCAAGTTGCTGCCATGGTCACCTTACATGTAAACTCCAATCAGGTTCTCCATCGCCTTCTTGTCTTATGTCCGATTGAAACCACAAGTTTCCAAAATATTGTCGCTTTTAGAACTCCGCATACTTAAATCAGTCGATGAAAATCGAGGGCATCAGCTCTCTGTGATTTTTAGACAATAACAAATATTATTCAAGGCCTCGGAGGTTCGCAGCATAGTGTGAAGCAAACGTGACAATAGCTGCCCGATCTGCACATGCTCCTTTTTTTCTTGCTGTACGGTTAACACAAAAATATTTTTTTCAACCATTGATATTTTTTCTTAAGATCAATGTCAGGAAACAAACTGATATACAGCAATGCAGGTCAATTACAGATCCACATTACACATCACTGCAAGGCAGGTCAGTAAAGATAAGGTTTAGAGGACTCTTTCAGTTATGTTAGGCAGCAGACACCTAATGGAAGACCTAAAATTATACTGATTAAAGGAAAATGATCTTTTTTCTTTTCGTTTTGAAAACGAAGAGAAAAAAATATCAACAACAACAGTTCATTATCCTTTTCTCTGACTTATGAGCATTAAGGTATGGGACGAGATCCCTGTCTAGGAAAACGACAAAAATGAAAGGACTCCGAGCTCTAATGTCCGAGAAAGGGAGGGAGGGAGGGCTGACCCTTTTCACTGAAACTCTTTGCGAACTGACAACTTTGCATATATTATTCAGGTTTATATAAATACCTCTTACTAGCCGAGTTTTCGGTCCCTACTGTAAATTACGGACCGAGTTTTTTTTCCATTGATTTATGGCCCGCGCGCTTCGCGCTTGGGCCATAAATCGATGGAAAAAAACAAGGATCCGTAATTTACAGTACGGACCGAAAAAACGAGGCTAATAAGATGTTTATTATATATCGCTTCTTCCAGTTTGGGGGACCGGAAACAAGTGCGGGACGCGCGATTTGACAATCATTTGACAGGCGTCAAGAAAGAAAGTTTTTGTTGGCTCACGAAAACAATAGCACACAACAAAGGGTTTCCGAGAAAGTGAAAACAAATTCGCCATGTTGAAAAAGCTTATTTGGTCAAAACTAAGAGCGCTGTAAGTTTTAGCTCTTTAATGTGACGCTGGAGTATTTTGGAAACCGGGCACTGTGTCTCGAAGTAGTTTCCATCTTTTCTCCGTTGGTCCTTGTAAAAAAAAACACTGCAAAAGGCAAAGAAACTTTTCAAGGTAAGTTTGTTGTCAATAGTCATTGTCGAAGGATTCGCTCGTTAATTTTTCTGGGAAAACCTTTCAAATTTCTGCCAGTTCATTCCCGTTTTCAAGCGTGATCTGCGTTAAAATTTTCAAACACGGACCGTATTTTCTTCCACGGAAAGGTTACGATTCAGTTTCTACATCAGCTTCCTTCTCATTTAAACAAAGCTAGGTTAAAATCTGGAAAGGCAAAGTCAACATCCCAGTCCTCAGGGTTTACAGACATATTTTTAAGTATATTGGGTCAAAACTAAGAGCACTGTAAGTATTCACTGGCCAATGTGACGCTGGAGTCTTTTGAAAACTGGACATTGTGTCTGGCTCGGAGTCGCTTCTATCTTTCTTTCGTTGGTCTTTGGAAAAACACTGCAAATGACAAAGAAGCTCGTCAAGATGATCGGGTGTAGGCATGTTTGTTGTCATATTTGTCGAAGGAATTACTCATTTTCTCTTAGGCAAAACATCTCGAATCTCTGCCAGTCGATTTTCATCTTCTTAACTGTGTACTACGATAAAATTTTCACACACTGGCTAGAATCCTCTTCGATAAGATTACGAGTTAGTTTCTTCATCACCTTCGTTCACAAATAAACACAGTTTAAAATATTGAAGGACAAAGTCCAAATCTAAGTACTCAAGGTTGATAGACGTCTTGTAACTTAATTTTAACCTTTTTTTCCGAGGTAAAGAGATTTAGAGCTCCAAAATGAGCTTTTTCTTTGAAATTTTGGTCCGTATAGCAAGTTACGGACCGCAAATTGACCTATCGCATGGCGAAAACAGACTCAGCCATATAATAATAGCTATTATTAAAAACTGAATCATTGGATAATGCAATTCTAGCATTTTGATTGGCTTAGTCGTTATGGTATATGAGCTATTATACCATGCTCTCCATATATGGTCGGTGTACGCGTCAGTTTAAAATTGGAAGCTAGCTAAGATTTTTTTCGCGAAGGATAGAACGGCGCCCGAAGCAAATCGTTTTAATTCATTTCTTAGAATACTAGAACTGAATGCAATTTCATCGAAAGAAAAAAGACAAAAACAAACAAAAAAGCCACAAGAGCTTGTTTGAAAGTTTGTTGAAAAACACATGAAAACACATGGAACTAAAGTACCTTGACCAGCTACGAAAGAAGGCAAGTGTTGTTTCTTCATGATCGCGAAGCCATTCGCCGATCGAGTCACTTGCCGATAGATAACTGCGGCTTGTTTATTCGACATCAAGAATATAAATCACAAGTAACCAGCTACAAATACAGGCTATGCAGCCATTCACTAGAGCAATCGAGGCGGCAGTATAGCTTCTTTTCTCGTTCAGCAAA